ATGTATTCCTGAAGCCAAGAAACCTTAATAAGCAAGCTACTAAGTTTCCACAGCCAGATCTATGCATGCCGTAGAACCCTAGATGTTAGAAATTGATTAGTACAAAAAGCTACATAATAATAATAAAAATAAATAAATAAATAAATAAAAACCAAGGCAAACATTTACAGCATAAAGCAGAACAAAACTAAAGAGTAAAACAGAAATAGTTATTGCCACACTAGTTGGAAATGTCATCATCAGCAAAACTACCATAAACATTATTTGTTAGTTATATACTGAATTTTGACCAATGACATTAAGTAAACTCCATAGTTATAATACCACCCATAAGCTGGAGTCAAATATATACAAGAACATTATGCTAACCATTTCCTTGAACATATGGCAAGTGCAAATTACAGTGAAGTAAAATGTCATTTGACCATCTACAACATCTAGACGTCTAATAGTTTGAGGATAAGTAACTGAACTGAACCTCATCCTGGTTAGCAAGATTCCACCGAACAACATCAAGTTGTTGCCGCAAGTAGAGGTGCAATAAGTGCTTACTTTCATCTTCAGTTAAGCCTATTCCAAAGAAGTAACAAACAAGTGAGATAGATTGGCAAGAATACATGATAGCTGAACCTAAGTATGAATCCAGATAGGAAATAATAAAGAAAAAGAAAACAGACGAACAAGGAAACAATAAAATAAAACATGCTTATACTCTTCAAAAGTGTCCAGATAGGAAAAACTGAAATGAGTACCTTTCACATGAAATTCAAAATCTAAAGAAGAGTGATTAATAAGCGAGTTCTCATTTTGCCCACCAAGTTCATTAGCATCCTTATCCAAGATCACAAAGGTTGAGATACAGTGAAACAATCATCTTTGTAACTAACAGACCTACTAATCAACTAACAATGACCATCATAGATGTTGAGAATATTATCAAAAGATATTGCGGATGCAGTATGTTCTTTTATTGCACCCAACACTCTGAGCAGGAACTAAACATAAGTAACCACATGGCAAGTATGCAGAAGGGCTGCCAAAATGAGTTCTGACTGTAAAACAGGCTGGTTTAGACAATGACACCCTGAACCCCATACCAATTTCCTGGGTGGCATAATTACCAGATGAATGAAAGAAAATAACTGTATAACCAACGATTCAAGAAGATGAGGCTTAAGTGGCAGATTTACATCATGACAAACTGACACCTAAACCAAATCCCTGGATGGCACATTATTACCAAATAAGCCACTACTTAACCATATAGAGTAACTATGTAGACCTTATCCTCTGCCCTTTCATAACTGTACCCTACCCCTAACATGGAAAGACGTGCACATCAGACCATGGTTTCAGATATTCAGTCCAATCATGAGCAAATTACCTAAGAATAAAAAGCCACCATGTTTAAATAGGTATGCCACTTGAACAATATTGTCTGATGTTTCTCTCCTAATGCACAAAACCATTCTTTAACTGCAGGAATTTTATTTAGGTTTTCTACATACATGCATGTGTTACCCACAAATGTCAGGACATTGTCAGAAGAGTGTATTAATGATGCAATTTTCAATTTAACTTGTGCACAAAAATCAGGCATAATGTACATTATAGTTATATGTAAGCATAGCAAATATGATAGAGACCTGAGTCAAAAAAAAGCATCTGTTTTGCTATGCCAACATATACATGTGCTGAAGATTTACACAAAGGCAAGGGGAGTGGGGGAGGGAGGCAAAGCAAACCTTTAGTTGATTAACTTACGTGGCAGTGAATCATTACTCTGGCAATATAGAGTCTCAAAGTCATGCACCGTTAAGCACCCTGATTTTGTCACAGACACTAAGTAAATTCCCTGGAGACAATTATATGGGGAAAAAATTAGGGGTGGTTAAAGAGGGAAGAGAAAGAAGGACAAAAAGAATAGTAGGAATTGCAATGGAAAGGAGAGGGTGAGGTAGGGGAAGAAAATTAAGAAATAGCAAGTATCTCCTATTCATACTGGTTAATTCGCATTTAGTCACATCAACTGCAACAGAATACATAAAACTCAAATTAGTTCGCCTATTTAGTAGCATGGTGCATAGGCCTTATAGACACAATGGTTTCTAGTATGCTTGCAGATATCACATTAACATTTGGACATGATATTTCTGCAATTAACACCCATTCTACATACCAGCCCAATGAAAAATCTTCATGCCTGTGACTATGCCCTTGAAGAGCCGTTTCAATTTGAGAAGGTGTTGTGGTATGATCATGCGTTTTTCTGCCCAGGGGGACACTCCAATAGTTAGAACTTGAAAATTCAAACTGGAGGCCTTAAGTTCGGATCTTGGAGATGGAAGGGTGAACTTTACAGGATGAGAAAGAGCTAGCTCCCCATGTGTAGCCAAGTAACAAGTACCCAAAAAAATGGTCACCTGTTTTTACCTTAAAATGCAACTATTATTTTGTAGGAAGTTCAAATAAGTGTCTGGCTTCTCATAAAATCAAATTTTGACTTCAAAACGTGGCAAGATAATTTCTAAATATGTTCAGCCTATTCTGAAACCAAAGTTTAAATAGTTTAGCTATGGTCATACTCAACCCTACTTCGAGTTGAACCATAAGTCCAAAATATGTCATTCTTACTCATCCAAATCAATATAATATATATATTTATATATATATATATATATATATATATCATTCTTAAATGACTAGCTTTACAATTACAAGAAATATGTATAAACCAAAAAAAAAACATTAAGAAACACAATTAGCAGGGTAAATTTATCATCAAAAGATTTCAGAAGCTATAATTTAATAAGATATTAATGGGAGGTATCACCTTGTTGTCAAAGTCAACTGCAGATATTCCTTGCCTGAAAAGAGAATCATATTAAACTATCTCTTGAAATGAAACAAGAGGTATGAATAAATAATATCTGAGAGAGAGGATATCAAAGACTTCACCAAACAACAATTTTTCATATTCAAAAGAATCTAGAAAATGCACAATTGAATGCTAAAACAAATAGGATGATAATAGAAATTCTCAAGAAAACTACTTGTAGTAAGTAGTAACTAGTAATTGTAGAAGGAATTAACATTGGAGAGAGAGGCCAAATCAAATTATCTCTGATCTTCACTTGGAACAAAAATAAATAATTAAAGAATTAAGAATTAAATTGAAATATTTAGCAAACAGCTCCAGTCTAAAGGAAAAGGCTGTAGTTTTTCAGTCATTCGCAGTCAATACCATAACTTGAAAAAAAAAAATTCTAAACATCTAAAATTTTATTCACTCAAAAATTGAGATTGTAACTGTTTAAAAGATATACTAAATGGCATTTGCTCAAAATTCCAATCATTGTGCCCAACTCTTATCAATGCAGCTAGAAAGGTGTGACGGATCCAAACACTAGCTCATGCCACTGACATTTAGCATCCAACAGGTAAAAATTAATTATTTTTTGTTATACAGGTCTATTATTGCCTTTTTCTAACAACAAATAACAATAGAACAGTATCACCATCATGACAAAAAAGAAGGTTTGAAAATCAATTTGCAGGTGTCGTTATTTCTTCTTCTTTTTTCAGATAAAAATTGTGATAATAGTTAGCTCTCTCTAGCAGATGGGTTATGTACAACGAGTGCTGATACACAAATTATAGTAGTGATACAGATCGCTGTCAAAATAGAGCTTAGTGAGGAAATTACATTGCACAAAGATATTTCTTGAGTAAAATATGACAAATAATAGCCAATGACAAACTATTACAGAGATAATAATCAGAATTCAGAAGTGATAATTGTAACCAAGTTACATAAATATTCACTAGAAAGAGTAAGGGAGAAAAAAGAGAGATAAGAACCACTAACATTCTGAATGGAAGTTGACGACCAGAATTCACAGCATTGTTTATCCGATTAATCTACAAAACAGATGTCTAAAGTTAATGCAACAGATTAAATAGAGTATGGAAAGCTGGGAGAGAGTTTTCCAAAAAAAAAAAATTGTAACTGTCCCTAAAGAATTTGATGCATACATGGGTTTGACACGGCTTTCCATCAATGTGATAAAAATGCGGAAATGCCCCAATCTAAGCCATCACAAAACAAAAATCAGTAATTGAACAAAATCAACCTTAAAAATTAATAACAATGAAAGTAAAATTTAAATTAAAAAAAGAGAAAGGCAGAAGAAATTTGAAAGACCTCGGAATAAGAATGCATGAGGAGGCCAGAGAGGTTGTGGCGGTACTTAGGATCGAACTTTCCGTTCAATTCGAGTATGCTTCTTTGCCATGGACGACATCTTTGGATTCAAAAGAACATCTTGAATTGCATCAATCATTCAACCCAAAATTTCAGAGAAGTAGAGATTGAGAGAAACAAAGAGATACCTTGGTTTGGGTTTAGGGCTTTCAGTTGAGGGTTTGGAAGGAACCAAGAATTTGTCCATTAGAGCAAACACAACAGAGACAGCTAATCGAAGCAATTTCTTTTTTGTGGAGATTTGCACTTTATTATTTTGTGGCATTTCCCCTTTCCCGCCTTGGGGATTTTGTGCTACAACTCGCATTTTTTGCTTACCGCGCAAAGTTGGGTGGGCTCGATTCGGGTCAGGGTGCGAGGTAGAGGATTGGGCCTTTGGACGAATTAAACAAGCCCCAGGCACTAACAGAAACTTTGAAGCCACGATACCCGGCCGAACTTATCGTTGCATTTCAGGACTGATTTTTCTCTTCTTCAACTAAAAATTTTATCATCTAATCGCGATAAGAGATTACAATAATCAAACCAAAGTTAGACCAAAATTCTCGAGGAATCACGATCAAAATCGATCAATCTATTGAAATTCGAAACCCTGCTGTGCTAACGAAATGAAGCCCCTCTTTCGCGTTTTCCACTGCCAATTTGGTCCAACTCAAAAGCCGATAAACACAATATGCCACCGAAAATACGAAGTGGAACCCAAATATTGTAAGAGAGTAAGACAGGCCATCGAAAATTTAAACTAATCCAAGTACTCTGATTAGATTTCTCAAACTTACATTTCAACAATTCAAGAACGAAAATCCTAAAACAAGAGATCTATACGTAAAGAAACCTAAACAAAGATGTTCTAGAAACAGATCTTTCAACGAGACCGGAAAGAAGAGAAACATCTTTTTACTACTACATTATTAGGCTCTCTCTCCCCTGATCCTCCTAGCCAGCTGGATATCCTTTGGCATGATTGTGACCCTCTTAGCATGAATAGCGCAGAGATTGGTGTCCTCAAAGAGCCCCACCAGATAGGCTTCAGCTGCTTCCTGGAGAGCGGCAACGGCGCTGCTTTGGAACCTTAAATCCGTCTTGAAATCTTGAGCGATTTCCCTCACCAGCCTTTGGAATGGAAGCTTCCGAATCAACAGCTCCGTGCTCTTCTGGTACTTCCTGATCTCTCTCAACGCCACTGTTCCAGGCCTGAAACGGTGAGGCTTCTTCACTCCTCCGGTAGCCGGAGCTGATTTCCTGGCGGCTTTGGTTGCCAGCTGCTTACGTGGCGCCTTGCCTCCCGTTGATTTCCTCGCTGTCTGCTTTGTACGTGCCATCGTTATCTGGCTGCAAAGATGAAGAAGATGATCGAAACTGTGTTTGTCTACCGAGAAAGTTGAGGAAACTGATGATTCGAGTAATGAGCGGTGACGAGGGGAAGTGAATTTGGGTGTATATATTGAGAAAGTTGAGAGAAAGAGCGCGGGAACTTCGAAATTTTTCAGTGACTAATCTGGACGGTCGGATTATATATATTATTCATCGACGGTTGTCAATTCTTGTCAGAGTGGGCGATCCGTGTGCTGGTGGAAATGAACCAATAAGATATCAATATCAAAGCGCCCCTTAGAAGTACATAGATTTGGGAACAGAAGATGTGGGCTGTAGATTGATGAAAAATCTACGGCTAATACTCTGAAGAAGGAACTCACACGGATCATGATCCGTGACAGTAATTACTCTTTTCTTGTTCATTCAGCATGCTTTATGCAGTGTTTTATTTCAATAGTAGTAAGCATAATATAAAACCCTAAAATTTTGAAACAATGACCCAAAGTTAGCATTTGTATTTTACAATACAATGTGATTATAAGTAAATGGCATTTAGTATTTTACAATACAATGTGATTATAAATAATATAATTGCAAGTAATATACTTACAAACAATATGATTGTAAAATATATAACATTACAGTAGTTAATATATAAGCAAAGTAATGATTAAAATGTAAGAAAGATAACATTGTGACGTTTAACTTACAAACATTTTACTGAAAATGTAATGTTAATTTTCAAAATTACTTCTATTTATTAAAATACAAGTTTAAGATAGTTGTATTTTTTATTGTTAATTTTTATATAATATCATCTTTTAAATATATTTTTAATGTTATATTTTTATTTTTATTTTTATTATAATTTTGCATGTTTTATTTTTATTTCTTAATATAATTTTCTATATTATATATTTTATTTTAATTTTTTTTTCTTTTAAAAGATAATATAAATTTTATTGACAATCACCATGATTGCTAAGAATAATAAAAAGATATCTTCGAAATCTATATTAAAAAATAAATTATAACATTATAAAATATTTTAATAAAATGACAAAATTAAAGGGTAAAAATGTTTTTAATAACATTGCAAGATACAATATAATTTGATTGCATTAATTTTAAACTACAATCCCGTTACATCCATTATCTGTAAGATGATTGCATTTCAATTTTACAATGCAGTAGTTTAATTGATTTGTTTTACAATAAACTACTATAATGTAATTTAATTAGGTACATCGCAGGAAATGTGCTTCCACTTCCCTCATAGTAAATGCTGTCGCAATATGATTATAATTAATGTAATTGTAATGTGTGGTATGTAAACAAAGTAATAATTAAAATATAGAGAAGATAACATTACAGTGTTTGATTTTCAAGTAATTTGGTAGAAATATAATATCAATTTTCATTATTACCTCATTTATTAATATATAAGTTTACTATACTAGTATTTTTTATTGTTAATTTTTAGATAATATCATCTCATAAATATATTTTTATTGTCATATGTTTTATTTTCATTTCTATTATCTTATATTGTTTATTTTTATTTTTTAATATAATTTTTTATATTATATATTTTATTTTATTTTATTTTATTTAAAAGATAATATAAATTTTATTAATAATCACCATCTACCATCCAACAGAAAATGGCTAATGAGAGTAACAAAGAGTCATCCCTTGAAATTTATATAAAAAAATAAATTATAATATTACAAAATATATTTAACAAAGTAATAAGGTTGAAAGGTAAAAATGTCTTTAATAACATTGAACAGTATAATGCAATCTAATTGCATTAATTTTAGATTGCAATCATAGTATATCTAATTGTAATAGCATTTTATTTATTGGTTGTAATATGATTGTATTACTATCTTGCATTACAGTGATTTATTGTAAAACAAATATTGTAATATAATTTAATTTAATTAGGCAAATTATAGAGAATGTGCATCCAATTTCATCATGCCTAACACTACCTAAGTCCAAATTGAGATAATCTATGACGCAGCTATAATTGAAAGTTAAGGGGCCAATCAATATACATTAAGTTAAAATATCTTTTAAAAATAATTTAATATTATTTTATTATTTATATATTTTAAAATAAATTAAATTAACTAAAATATTTTCTCAACTATTCAAATAACATTCACCATAGAAATACTAATGTAAGAAAATATAATCTTATTGATTGAACGATTAGTACTTGTTTTTCCAACCATAAAAACATTTAAAATTTTATCCCTCTTTTTCCAAGTTATAACTTATGGAAATTGAAGCTGTATTTATATAAAAAAAAATGCAAACAAACCATGTTAAAATAAAAAAAACATCGAAATGAATTTTGGAGAAGCCAAACTCAATTTGTTATAAAAGAGCATTGTTAAAAGCAACAAGTTTAAAAATAGAATAAGTAAAAAAATATTCAAAAAATTTTTCTCATAAATAAAGCACTTATGAATTAAATGAACAGTTTAAAAGTTAGTTATTTTATAGAAATAAAATAAGATAAAAATAACTAATTAGACCTGAACTTGTTAATAGTAAATTCTTTTATCTGAGCTTGAAAGAGTGGATACTGTGGAACTTATCAAATGACGTATCCTTGATAATGTAACATGGAGTTTTATTTTTGTGCATACAATATGGTTTGTATGGTTTTGGCATAACTTGGTTGTTTATGATAAGTCTTTTATCTGGCCAAGTAATGCAGAAAGCAGATCTGGACAAAAGTTAAGGAGGCATGGGACAAAATAGGCTGTGAACAACAAAGAGTTAAGCACGAGGTGGTGATTGCATGGGAAAAGCCGTGGCCATCATATTGTTAAAACTCAATAGTAGATGCAGAGCGAAGCCAACCGGGGAAGTAGCTGGTAGAGGTGTAATCTGTGATGATAAAGGAACTGGACTGTTGGCTTCAATATAAAGTTGGAGTCTTCTTTTCATTGACAACCTAGTTATGGGCACTCTACCAAGGTTAAAACTTTGTTAGGAAAGTGGCTCCCTATATCTCACATTTATTATGAAGCAAATCAATGAGCCAACCGAATGGCCACCCATATGACGATTTATCTTTGGGGTTACAATAGATGTGAATCCCCCCCCCCCCCCCCCTACTAGTTTAATTTCCTTGTTATTAGTTGAGACTTCAAGTATTGCATGGCCTAGGCTGATATTGTTAGATTGTTCTAACCCTTTTTATATATAAAAAAAAAAGTATAAGACTTTTATTTATGTTTCAATAATTTTTTCTTCACCTATGATTGATATAAGACATCCTTAAAGAAACTTGAATCTAAGCAATTAGAAACAAAAAAGGCTAAAGAAGTTGTTAAGTCATACTTAGACATTTAAAATGTGTTACAATTAATGGCATACTTACAGTACCTAGAACTTACTTCAAATGTAACTACTAAGTTTAATTAGTAAGAATGACTTTCAATAAAAGGAAGAGTTTGGAGACAAAATTAAAAGGTTAAAACGAATGAATAACTTCGACAAGATTAAAAGATATATTTATATACATATCTATATATTATAATTGTAGTACTATTTACTATTTCTGTGTTTTTAAAAAGTTTGATTTTTTGACTATATTTTTCGTCTGAATTTTAGATTATTTAATAATATTTGAAGATTAAATATAAATGTGCTTAGAATATTAATTTTGGTATGTTTACAAATATTTAAATAGGCGAAACTCTCTTTTGCATTGCACAAGGCACAAGCTAGCTAGTTGACATATATGATTTACCCATGGAGTTTAAAGATTTTACATCTAATCTATATATATAAAGAATAATAGAAGTATTTTTATGAATACAAATATTATGGTGGAAAAAGCATGAGATTTGAATTTCTTTTTATGTTTTTAATGGAGAGATGGAATCTCATTTTTAACAGAAATGAGAAGAACAAGACCAAAAACATGACAAGCAAGCAGGAGGCTTTTGATTTTTTTTAATTTAATTATATACAAAAAAGGATTTTTGATAATGGGATTATTTAATTAGTCTTTAAACCTTATTTATTGAAATAATAAGAACTATATTTTCATTGAAAATTAATAACCTATCTTATAACACACTCAAACTAGCCCCACCCGAACCAAAGTAGCTCATTTACACCCCAAATGCTTGGTATAAAAACAAATAAGGAAATGCCAACAAACATAAAAAAATTGTAAGTGCCACAAAGTTCCTGTATCCTATACGCACCCACCCACAAAGAAAGAGTACACCCAAAAACCATGTATCCATTACTATCCTTTGTTACCTCTGTGTATAACTTTATTCTAGATTTTCTTGCTCAAGCTACTTGATTGAAACTAGCTTTTGCTCAAAGGACTCGCCTACTTGTAAAATTTTTATATATACACTAATGAAACAGAGAATCAGCATACGAGATACAAAAATCACACCCAATTGTTTGGCAGTGAAAAATCATGAAATCTAAAGGACACCTCCCCAGCTGTATCTCGCTGTAGTCTAACCTCTGGCTGCTCGCCTGTGACTATGCTCTCATTTGGTTCTTCAGGTGGCAGAGGCAGTATTTGATTTTCATTAGGTTGGTGTGTTAATCTAACTTCAGGTGGCAATGGTAACACTGATGGAGAAGGAATCCGAAGCCTGGCACTGCCAAAACCTCGAGAAACCAATGACTGATCCCACAAAAAGACATGCATAAGAATTGGCACGTTTGCATGCCGGTGTAGCGAGAGCTTCTGGCTTAGGGAAACAGTATCAAAGCATCGAACAGCTCCTGTTGAAGAAACCATCCATGGAAGAACCTTCTGGTTTGACAATCTTGAGACAACCAGGAGCCTAGATGCACTCACTGATTCTTTGTAAAGATTGCTGAGTCCTGATCTCGTCGAAGGCACATTTTCATCACCATCCATAACGGAAGAAATATAGATGAATCCCTGTTATTACAGCCAAAACAATAAGCATATAATGTATAAACTTCTTCATATTATCCTTTAACTATAGGATACAGCATATGCAGAACTCCCATAGTATAATCTCTTCAAAGCTATTTCCGTTTTAACTCTTGGTTTTTATTTTCATAAATCTAGTTCATAATAATATAATGCTTCATGTGCCTTTGTAAATAAGGACATATGCCAATTTGTGATTATAGCTGTAAGTTTACTAGTTTTCCTTTTCAAGTATTTTAATTATTCAGCAAAACTATGAGTTCCTGTTACTTCCTATCATATTCTTGCATTAATAATGTGAAATTCATCTTTTAAGCAAAATTAAGCTCAACGAATAGTATGATAAGAAATAAGGATGAAAATGCACCAAACTTAAAAATTATGAACAGTTATCATGTTTTCATTTGGATCTAGATCAACAAAAAATGTCTTTCTTTCTTCTTTCTATTTTGCTAAACTATTGATCAAAGTTTTTGCTTATCCCGTTTTTTATAATTTTTAAAGTTATAAATTAGTATCAAGATGTTATATATGAAAAATATATTAGTAATTTATTTGTATCCCCTTCAAATGAAATCCTAGTTTCACCCTAGAATAGAGTCATGGAGATTCAGATAGTAGACCTCTTCTGTGCGGCTAATGGCAAACCCAAGCTTTGTATCATCTTCTTTTAGTTTGATCTCAATTGGAATTTCTCCTGCAAGCGGAGCATACCATAGACGAACTGCTCGAACAACTCCTATGTCAACCCCATGGTAGTCCTCAAAACCATACAGACTTGCATTAGCTAGGTTTGATAAATCAGATAATGACCCAGTATTTACAGTAGATGAGGCTGTCTCTCCTGAGATCTGCTCCAAAAATTAAAGAAAAAAAAAATCAGTTTCAATAGTCACATGAACATGTACAGTCTTTGCTAAATAGTCCACCTGAGAGAGTGTTACTCCTAGATAGAAGATGCATATGATATTTATCATTTGTGACATATCTCAGAGTTAAATATGTGTTTGGCCACTAATGTCCATGGGACATCACATGAATGAAGCCTCTCTACAGCGTTAAAAGTTATATACCATCCATTTAACATCTAGTTTACAAGGTACTATAGCACATTTGGCAACCTTCACGTTTGGTAATTATACCAATGGCAATTTTTCATAATTTATGCATGACAAGAAGGTATGATGATGAAATATGCAAAGAATCCAATTGAGAGATTAAACTACTTAATTAGGAATATACTTTGTTACTTTCTTGTATTTTATGGAGTTAATTGAATTGTTTGTAGATGCAAGGATAATACATAAATTCAGTAAGAATATTAAATTAGTAGGAATTCTTCTTTACACATTGTTCTATGCATTAAAACGGCAAATACTGTTTTGTATTATAGGGATAATGGAATAGCTATTTTCTAGAAATAGAATAAGAAGGGAATTGCAGGGAATTATGTATACATATTGAATACGTAGAATCTATGCTGTGTGTCATGAGCCAACCTTACTTAAGAGATTAAGTCTTTTATACCTGTAAGGGAAGTGTCCCACTTTCAAACAATGTAATGTCTACTAGTGACACCTCCATAAAAACTTGTTAAGTCTTTAGAGGAGAAACCTTTAAGAAAAGGAATGTCCTCATTTCAAGCGTTGTAATGTCTACTAGTAAGATTCTTGTAAAATCTTGTAATCTCTTTATAGGGTGAGCAGTCGGTGGATTGTTGGGCTGTCTCACTGGTAAAAGTATGTTTGTAAAGAATCATCTAAGGCTGCCCCTATGGCCCGATGATGATGAGTCTTGGACCCTTTGTAATCAGTTTCATAATTAATAAAATATTTTTTCTTTTGATGACTAAGTGGTTGCATATATGGCATTCGGTTTGCCTTTTGATTCAGATATGAGTTTTTGTAATCTTATTTGTTGTTATGGTTAATGTTGGAACAGATACAACTGAGTATTAGTTGACTTGTGTGCAAGCGTCCACTTAAGTGCCGCACGGACTATTGTGTACTTAGATGAAAAAGTGTAGTTCATGACAATTGATATTAAAGCACGAGCGAGACATGCTGATCTAAAATGCAAAAATAGTGAACACCCGAAGTACACCAAAGAACCATTAGAGAATGGATGAGCTAAAGGCCGCGATGGCCGCAATGAAAACTCAAATGGTTCTGCACTAGCGGATAGACGAAATTGAGACAATCCAACAAGAACTGTCCGAGATGATTAATACCCTAAGTGATAAGACCAAGAAGGCATTGAGCACTCTCCAAGGTGAGACTGAAAAACTGAAAGCTCAAGTAAATTTTTTAGTTGTTGCTGCAGTAATGCCAATGGGAGTTCCAGAGATTGAGGGAAAAGGGCCAAAGTGCCGAAACCCAAGGATATGAAGGGTTCGAGATGCTAAGGAGTTGGCGAACTTCTTCTTTGATATGAAACAATATTTTTAAGTTGTGCACAGAGTCTAAAGAGGACAAAGTGGCGATGATTTCAATGTATCTTACTGGAAACGCTAAGTTATGGTGGCATTCCCAATTTGTCGATAGTGAGTGTCGTATCAACACTTGCAAGGACCTAAAGTAGGAATTGAAAAATCAATTTTTTCCCGAGAATGTGGAGTATATGGCGCAATGAAAGCTGTGGGAGTTATCTCAAATAGGATCAGTGCGAGTCGTGAGGAACTTCTCTTTTATAATGCTAGATATAAAGGATATGACTGAGAAAGAAAAACTATTTTACTTTCTTGAAGGTCTGAAACCATGGGCAAAGGCAAAATTACAGTGACAGAAGGTACAGGATGTGGCTTCGACAATGGCGGTTGCTGAGCACCTTACTGACTATAGTGAAAATCCCAACAAAAGGAAGGACCCTCCATCTAGGATTAGTAGCTCTAACTCAAATAATGGGGCAAAATTCTCAAGAGTAAGTAGATCCTCAAGTGAGGGAGGCGAGAGGAGACCACCTGCTAGAGAATCACCCCAATCGAGGACAAACAAGCCATGAAATTTCAAGCCACGATTGTCGATATCTTATTTTCTATGTAAAGAGCCCCACCGAGTAACTGACTGTCCTCATCAAGCAGCTTTCAGTGCCATATGTACTGCCAATGTAGAGACACATCCACCCAACACCATAGTCGAAGAAGCAGAAGAAAAGCCAACACGAATGGGTTCTATTTGTTTCCTTAGCGCCTTGCAAGCTCAATTAGAAAAGATAAATAAGGAGCCCTAATGAGGCTTAATGTATATTGAGGTGTTGTTGGATGAGAGAAGTACCAAAGCCATGCTCGACATGGGGGCCTCAAACACTTTCATCACCTTGAAAGAGCCAAAAGATGTGACCTTAAAATTGATAAGGATTTTGGATAGATGAAAACAATTAATTCGTTAACTTCAGCAATAATGGGAAATGCTAAAGACGCAAAGATTAAGATTGGCTCTTGGGAAAGAAAGGTAAACTTGACTGTAGCCACTATAGATGATTTTGATTTTGTCTTATGCTTGAATTTTATGACAAAAGCTCAAGTTATCCCTTTCCCTGCTGCAAGTTGTTTAATGTTTTTCGATGAACGGCCATGCGTGGTACCGACTACAATTCTTTTTAAGAATGGGAAGAATATGATTTAAGCTATACAATTTAAGAAAGGGATTAAGAAAGGTGAGCCCTTCTACATAACCATGCCCATCTACAAGGATGAAGATAACAAAAACTCGATACTAGATAATAATTTCAAGTTATGATGCTAGATCAACTACCAAGGATTGTACCACCTCACCGAGTTGTCGATCATGAGATAGAACTACTTCCAAGAGCAAAACCACCGATGAAAAGGCCATACCGGATGGCTCCCCCCAAGTTGGCGAAGCTAAGAATATAATTAGACGAGTTGATTCAAGTCGGATTCATCCGACCATCGAAAACACTTTTTAAAGCCCCAGTACTTTTTTAAAAAAAGCAAGATGAAAGTTTACAATTATACGTGGATTACCGAGCTTTGAATAAAGTCATAATTAAGAATAAATATCTTATCCCTTTTATAGCATATCTTTTTGACCAACTCAGTGGTGCAAAGTATTTCTCCAAACTACATTTGAGGTTGGATTACCATTAAGTTAGAGTGATCGAGGGAGATAAGCCACAAACTACCTGTGTAACACGGAATGGTGCATTTCAATTTCTAGTTATGCCTTTTGGACTAACCAATGTTCCTTCTACCTTTTGCACATTAATAAACCAGGTGTTCCATGATTATTTGGACAAGTTCATGGTGTTCTACTTAGATGATATTGTGGTGTACAGCTCGACCTTGAAGGAACATCAAGGGCATTTGCGGTAGGTCTTCCAAAGGTTACGCGACCATCAGCTACATGTGAAAAGGGAAAAATGTGCATTCGCACAGACTATAATCCATTTTCTTGGTCATATAGTGGAGCAAGGACACATCCGAATGGACATGTAGAAGGTCAAGACTATCAAAGAATGGGCCACCCCTAAGAATATGACGGAGCTTTGTTCTTTCTTAAGACTAGCCAACTATTATCGGAGATTTGTAAAAGGATATTCAAAGAGAACAGCAGCGCTGACAGAATTGCTAAAAAGGGGACAAAAATGGATTTGGATGCAACAATGCCAAGAAGCTTTTGAAAGTTTGAAGGACACGATGATGACGGATCTTGTGTTATTGTTTTCGGATATTGGAAAGCCTTTTGAAGTGTAGACAGATGCATTAGACATTACCCTTGGAAGAGTGTTGTTGCAAGAAAACATCCGGTGGCATTTGAAAGTCGCAAGTTGAATGAGGCTGAGAAGAGATACACAACATAAGAGAAAGAACTACTTACAGTGTTTCATTATCTACGGACCTGACGACACTATTTGCTAGGTTCACCATTCATAGTTAAGACTAACAATACAGCCGTAAGTCACTTTTTCACTCAACCAAAACTTACAGCTAAGCAGGCGAGGTGGCAAAAATTTCTGGCAAAGTTTGATTTCTATTTCGAGCATAAGGCGAGAAAAGCGAACCGAGTAACAGATGCCCTCAGCAAGAAGGTTGAATTTGCAACTCTAAGGATGATCACGCCAATGTCAGCCAGCAGAGTGACCACAGACATTCGTAATCTGATTGAAAAAAATTTACATCAAGACCCCCAAGCAATGACTATTAAAAAATTGGTGGAGAGTGAAAAATTGAAATACTTTGGGGCGAAGAATGGACTTCTACTAACAAAAAGATCCGCATATTTGTTCCACGAGTAAGAGAGCTTAGATAGAAATTAATACAGGAATGTCACGACACTCCTTGGGCAGGACATCTGGGCTGGCAGTGGATAATAGCATTATTAAAACAAGGTTACTATTGACTGCAGATGTGACAAGATGTGATAGATTATACGAAGATGTGCCTCATTTGCCAACAAGATAAAGTAGACAGGTAGAGACTGATTGAATTGCTTGAACCTTTATCAGTGTCGACCAAGCCTTGGGAAAGTATTTCTTTAGACTTTATAGTAGGACTTCCCAAAGTGGGAGATATGACAACAATCTTGATAGTAGTGGATCGATTTTTCAAGTATGCAACGTTTATGCAATGTTTATTCCGGTACAAAAGTTTGGTTCTGTAGAAAAAATGCTCACGTAGTTTTTAAACATGTGATAAAATATTAAGGTGTTCCGAAAAGCATTTTCAGTAACAAAAATCCAAGGTTTACTAGCTTTCTTTGGAAAGAGCTGTTCAAGCTATTGGGGTTAGAATTCAACGTGTCTTTCAGTTATCACCTATAGACAAATAGTCAAACAGAACGTTTCAATGAATTATTGGAAGAATACCTGCAACACTTTGTACAGGCGAACCAGAAAAATTGACCTAACTTACTGGATGTAGCCTATGTTTCAACTCGTAAAAGAGCTCAACCACCAATAAAACCCCTTTTGAGGTTGTCATTAGACAACAACATAGACTCCCTCATACCTTAGTGGAGTTGTATACTAGGAAAAGCCCACGTGCGTTTAACTTTGCCAAAGAATGGAAGCAAAACATTGAGATTACTAGAGCTTATTTAAAGAAAGCTTCCAGCCAGATGAAAACGTAGGCATATAAAGGTCGAAAAGAGCAATAATTTCAAGTGGAAGACCTGGTGTTGGTGAAGTTGGTACCTGTACAACTTCGATTCCTGAGAAAGAGAGATCGAAGACTAGTGAGGAAGTATAAAGGCCCAATACCCGTGGTAGCTAGGATGGGGAGGACCTCCTATAGGATTGATCCACCCAAGTGGATAAAGGTACATCTCGTGTTTCACCTCTGCAATCTGAAGCCATTCCATGCAGATCCAAAAGATGCAAGCAAAAGTCAAGCCACAAGAGCTACCATCAGCACTAAGCCACCATCATAGCGCTGAGTGGAGGAGATTTTGACATGAAGGATGACTACCATTAATCGACAACCGACATAGGAATATTTGGTGAAATGGGCAAATTTGAGACCAGATGAGATCACTTGGGAGAAAGAAGCTGACCTCTAAGCCTTTCAGCAAAAGATTGATGAGTTTTAAGACAACCAGTCTACGAAGACGTCGACAGATTGAGTGGGAGAAGATGTCATGAGCCAACCTTGCTTAGGAAATAAGTCTTTTACACCTATAAGGGAAGTGTCCCACTTTCAAACAATGTAATGTTTACTAGTGATACCTCTATAAAAACTTGTTTAAGTCTGTAGAGGGGAAACCCTTTAGAAAAAGAATATCCTCATTTTAAGCATTGTAATGTCTACCGGTAGGATTCTTGTAAAATCTTGTAATCTCTTTATAAAGGGTCAACAGTCGATTAATTATTGGGCTGCCTCACTAGTAAAGGTATGTTCGTAAAGAATCATCTTAGGCTACTCTTATGGCTTGATCATGATAAGTCTTGGACCTTTTATAATCAGTTTCATAATTAATAAAATATTTTTTCTTTTTAGTGACTAAGTGGTTGCATATATGACATTCGGTATGCCTTTTGATTCGGATATGAGTTCTTGTAACCTTATTTGTTGTTATGGTTAATGTTGAAACAGATACAACCAAGTATTAACTGACTTGTGTGAAAGCATCCACTCAAGTGTTGCACGGACTATCGCGTATTTAGATGAAAAAACGTAGTTCATGACACTGTGCACATTTGGTTCACTGGGAACAGCTATTCTGTCCCATGCCATGTACTATCCTCTCTTTCACCTAATACTTGTACGACAAAAAAAGATACTACAATTGCAAATAACATCAGGTATCTTTCGCTTAGGTCAACCATCGGCTATTGGGGACAGAAGAAGAGCTCCACATAGTTATTAATGCATCATGTTGCTTTTTTTTGTTTTTTAATAATCTATAACATGTCCTTTAGAACACTGTAAATACTAAATTGGCAAGCAATTTAGTGGTGAAACAACACTATGTTGTCCCTATTGAAGATATTGACTCACTTCAGCTTGTATTGTAAAGCTTTTGAGGCTATGGACTGTACCTTAGTAAGCAGAGATTCTGTCTGGATATTCATGAAAACAATGGGGACCCCAGAGCCCTGCGATGCATTAAGCCAAGCATTTGCTCGAGCAAGAGTATCCTCCAAGTCATTGTATCGAGAAGCCACTCGATCTGAAGCTTTTGGAAGGAGGAGAATAGAAAGAAAACAGCCTGAGTTTGGAACTGATAGCACCTCCTGCATCCTTCTCTCCCATGGATACGAGACATATCCATCCTGAAGCCGTGTCCTTGATAGTTCACTGACCAACCTGGAGTTCCTTGAAGCTGCAAACTCATTATTTATAATTGCATCAGAAATTAAAAAGTGTGAAGAAGATTCAAACTTTTATTTTCAACAAGTTATGGGTCAATGCAGAACACTTATTGATACTTCTTGAGAATTTCTATGCAATGATTAAAGGATACCAATTATCCAAGGGCAGAAGGGGTAAAAAAATAAAGCATTATCAATACTCCATTCATCTCCTTATTTCAGTTTTTCTATTCAAAACTATAAATCCAGCAAACCATATTACTAGATAAGTTGAAGTGACCTTTAAGTGGCATTATAGCAGGACCATGTATGCTTATTTAAAACTGAACGAAGCATACTTTGTAGGTTAATTTACATCCATAATACTATACTAGGATTTCACATATCTTATTAGCATTGATGCCAGTAGAGATAAGGAATGGTAAAAGATCCATGAAGGGATAAAGATGTAAGCTGTCCTTAACAATTACAGGATATTTAAATAGCCAGAGAACCGACCAACATCTTTTCTTTTCTGTATGGACTAACTTGTCCTATGGCATTTTACACACCACTTTAAGGAATAAGGACAAGACCCTAAGCCCAGTCAAGGACTGGGGCAATATTTAAATACAATGAATGATGAAATGCTAAAGGAGAGCAAAATATCTTAAGAAATATCACACATCATGCTGGTATCCTCTAAACCATAACAGTTTGCATCAGGAGAAAGCACCATCGAAGATGGAAAAGACAAAGGTGCTTTTTCCCCTAAGTAGAAAAGATGCTATTAAATTAATAATCAAATCATTTGTGGGCACTGGTCGTCAGCTTGAGGACATCATCATCACATCTTTCAACTAACATAAAACTACAATGGTTAAGGTTAAGGTTGCATTCCTGCAGGGTGTCCCTACTCCCAGCAATTGCAAAAAATTTATCTTCATGTTTTCTATCACTGGAAGATGTGAAATTATAAACCAAGAAGAGACCAATCGAATGTTGATAAATTCCATTTCTGAACCTGTACGGCCCTAGTTAACCATTGATCAGTGCTTTAGAAGTCCAAAGACTAGTGCAAGCCAGCAAAGATCCAACTTATTTCCAAGTTTTCCTGCCGGGAGCATATTTTTTCAAGCTGTAATCCCTCCAGTGTGAACTCGAAGAGCCCACCAATGGAACCCAGGTGTGAAAAGTGATAAGTGGATGTTGAAAAGTGGTTGAACGACCAAAGGTTGTAAATGAAGCAAAGCAAGATTATAGGTGAAATAGCACAACAAAAGAAACATCATTCCATTCGTATCACGCAGTTGAGAAAAACAAAATCCATGAGAATGAGAAGTTCACCAGAAATGATAGAAACTAGGTTGACTATCAAAACCCCAAAAAGCTAAAGTTTCCATTAGAGAGGAAGGGCCTTTGTGAAACCCAACAAAAACTTGATCCACACCACTACCATGTCAAGAAATTTCAGTTCATACTCACCTTTATAAAGGGGCTGACTTTCTACGCCAACCCATTTCGAAATCACGTGTGAGCATTTAAGTTATTTCAATTATACGCACTAAAAGATCCCATATTACATCAAAGCAATAAATAAATATAGCTAGGCCACCATCCACCCTTTGAATGTAACACTGGACCTAACCTAGGGAGACAAGTTAAAGGGATTGAACATTAAAATATCACACTGAAAATAAATTATAAAATTCATTTTTATATAGAAAAAATATACCAAGTGGGGCTCAAAAAAAGTGCAATGGTATGTCATTATTAGGGAAACTACTTTCCCAACAAGCAAGGGAACCCATTTGTCAGCTCAAAAAATCCGACAGCAACCTTATCTGAATCTTGTATCGAATTTAAACAAAAAAAAAAAAGAAAAAATTTGAAAATTTGTTCTGATACTTGAAAGAATTGGGGAGAAATACACAAATAGTACGCGTGTGTTCAGACAACATTTGTGTTTACCAAACAGAGGAAAAGAGAAGAGAAGAGGGAATCCAACCACAAAATCGAAAATTCAAAGTCAACGCAAAAATTCGTAATTTCTATTTAAAAAATAAAAAGATAAACGGAAAAATCAGGCCCTCTGTCGAGCCAACGAGGTGGGTAAAAAAAAAAGAAAAACTCACCCTGCAACTCGAAGCACTCGGACTCAGTCCGATCCGAGAACCCGACAGCGTAGTTAGGATCCGCTATAGACCTCAACATATAATGCTTTTTCCCGCCAGACTCGTTAGGCACGATACACGCCTGCAACTGAGCGAAGTCGTCGCTTCCTCGCCTGACTCGGACGAGAATCGACGTCTCCTTGTTCTTATAAGAGCTGTGAAGAATCTTCTGGACTCCGCTCTTCCCGCCTTTAAAAGGTGCTTTATGGGTCAGACTAGACCCCGAACTTGACCCGAATCCAATTCGAATCTCCTCGACGATATCTCCTGTTTGGAGCATATCTCCGGTCCATTCGTCGGCTTTTGAGCTCCCTTTCAGACACTCGATTGAGAGTACGGTGGGCGATCTCATGCTCTCCGATTGTAGGGTTCGGTCCATGGGCATTTTCGGGTCGAAATTAACAGAAAACCGTTATAATTTCTTAGAAACAAAAAAAAAAAACAACTCTGAATGATCACCACCTCATATTAAAGAGAAGAGAAAACATAAGAAAACTTATAAGGCTTTCTTCGAGAAGGAAAGATTTTTGAGAGAAAGAGAGGGTTTCTGAAGGTGGGGTTTGGAGAATGAAGAAGGGAGAAATGATGGAATATTCAATATTGTTTTAAAGAGAAAACATGGCTCGAAGAACAAAGAAAATGGAAGGGCGGGGGAAGTCAAGGGGGAGAACTAGAATGGAAAAGAAGTGTTGAATAGTGATAAGGTACGGAATGTTAATTTCGGGGAATGTGCACGCAGTGATTCCGAATCATGAATGGAGAAAGAAAGATTATGAGAGATGCGAGGGGTCAAAGTTTAACAGTGCAACGACGACATCAACAACACAGTTGGTGTGTGTCGTCTAGCCAGCGTGCTTCTAGATTCATAGTAGAATACAATTCAATACCTGTCTGTCAAGTAACTTGTTCTGCTTAATCACTTCCCACAGTCCAAAAAGTGACCCATCCTTGTCTTCTTCTCCTATTATCTTTCTCTTTGGAAACTACAATTTATAATTAAAAATTATCACGCCATCATCTGTTAGCCAATTATTTCATACTCTTTTTGATTTTTTCTTCAGCTTTTGTCTTTTTCAACTTTAATCGTTTTTTATTAATTAAAATTTTAAAAATACTCTTTTAAAACTTTAATAAAGTAATTTTTCGGTAATATGATTTATCAAGATTTAATTTGATTAAACAATCAAAGTCAAATTGTATTATGAAAAAATCAAATTAAGACAACAATTATGTCATAGAAGAGTGACAACTGTAACATCCTATGAATAAAAAATATAGACCTATAAATTTTAATAATTAGGTATCATATCTTAATTTATTAAATTTATTTTTGATGTAATGGAAAATAACTATATAATAATTTGTTCAAAGTAATGTTAAATATATATGACCATATCACCGATTCACCAAGGTTAACGAATTATCTAAATTGTTAAACTTTTTAATATTTAAATTCAACAAATTGTAGCATTTGTCGATTTGCTAATTGCCACAATCTCTTATATGTTACCTACCCAAAGTAAAGAAAAAGGCTACGTTTGTCATTTTGTGTATAATTTTATTTTTTATTTTGAAAAATAAGATGCAAAAAAACAATAGTATGATTTTGGATAAAAGACTAAGATAATAATAAAAAAGAAAACAAAAAAAAATCACTTTGGTCGATAAACAAAGATGAAATTAAGTTATCCTTTTTGTCTCATTTCTGACTTAATTGCTCATGTTTTTCTTTCTTGCATATTTTAAAATTTTATTTTTTTTAAAGAATATTTTTTAAACTTTGTATATTAAAAATTTTAAAATTAAATATAAAATACACCAAATTCAAAAAGTTTTTTTTTTAAATTCTCTTAAAAATCAATTAAAGACAATAAAAAGAAGAGGAGGGGAGTAATTTTTATTAATAGGGTTGAAGGTGAGGTGAATAAGATAAATTAATAAGATTATAATATAAAGTTATAAATTGAATAGGCTACCATACCCCTTTAAAATGACATGATTCCGTATATGGGAACTCAACCCTAGTTAATTTAAAAGGTAATTAAAAACAAGAGACATTGTCGGTTTATTATGTGTGTACACTTCTCAATTTTGTCAGACGCCGAATGTTTCATAGTTTGAACCTCAACCAGAAAATTTTCCCTAAAAACAAAAGAAGAAAGAGGGCAAGTGATGATGATCTTGTTGACCAAATGTGCACCCAAAGCCCGAAATACAAAAATGACGGAGATTTTATGCTAAATGATCCCAAATTCAAAAATATATATATATATATATTTTAAAATAATCATCGTCTCTGTGTGTAAATAGTATTTAAAATAATACTCTTTTTCTAAATTATTCGGCACATTACATTACTTTGCCCCAAAAAAGAAAAGAAAATTCGTATAAAATAATAGAATGATAATAAGGCGAAGCTTCTAACGATGGGACCATGATTTTAGTCAAGACAAACCGCAGTAGATCATTACCACGAGCCCAGTGACGGACAGAAGTTTCACGACGCGACCACGTGTTTTAAGTGATGTGCCAAGTTCACCACGACTATTGGTCCGTGCTTAGACGCGCTTCGGCGTTTTTAAATTGTCCAAGCTAATGACGTTACCAGGACTGACGAGCGGCTGACGTTAGGTTAAAATGGCACGAAAAATGGAGGACTTAATCCTGCAAAATTTGGGTGAAAGAGAAGAAATAAATGGGAGGCAAAAGTGTGAAAAAAATTGTTAAAGAAAAGAGGTAAAGATTAAAGCAACTCAATGCGAATGTGTAGACAAGAAAATGATTTTAATGCTAGCAGTAAATTGTTCTTATTTTTTTATCCATTTTTATTTGATTTTCTGTGTATTTTATTTTACCACCCAAAAATTGTATGAGTTCATACGAAGCCGAACGAGCAGGGAGGGGAAGAGAGAAAGAGAGAAAAGGTACTTTTGAAAAGTAAAAGAGAGAAAAGTTATCATAGAATTTTCCTCAAACTTCAAAATATCTTTTAAATTTAATGTAATTCCAACTAATAAGTGTCATGAATACAACTCTTATGTAACTTAAAATCAATATATAATAATATTAGAATTAGAATTAGACTTAGATTGATCTGTTGGAACTAAGATTTTAGCAAAACGTTAGTCACGTTACGTGACGGTGAAAAAGGTTTTGAGGGATATTTCAAGCATGGAAAAGTAGAAAAGAATCTAGCGTCTTCACCCAAAAAGGCTGTAATCATTAAAATTAATTTTTTTTTTGTGGGGGTGGGGGCGGTCAACATTTCACTGCGAACACTACACATTTTGCATTATTTGATCCTTAATGATAGAATTGACTGCACGCACGCAAGTTATTCAGCAGAATCAACTTTCAGCGGTTGGTTTTTACTCCAAAATTCAAACTCACTTTTCCTTTTCTCTGCCTCTTGATTGGAGGTACAACCAAGCAATGTCATGAATCTTATGATTGTAAACCTGATGCCGGTGGGATGGCCGCCCTTTTTTCCCATGTATGGGTCCATCAGCCTGACAAGAAAAGTCTTCATATATGAACCTGGTGCTGGTGGGATGGCTTGCCCTTTTTCCCATGTATGGGTCCATCACCCTGACAAGAAAAGTCTTCATATGTGACATACTCATTCACTTTAGTCCACATCTACTCAACTCAAACTCAATAATCTCATTGCCTTAAAACTCTCTCTTATGTCCCAGACACTAAATTTTCTTTTTTCATCTCTTGCTTTTCTGCGACACTGGAACTTAAGCTAATGCTCGAGCCTCAAGGTTAAATAGATCTTCCCAGAAAACCCAAAGTGCCTTTCAGCAAAATAATTGGAATTATGTAAGTGCGAGATGCAAAATTCTGGCCTTGAACTTAGACCACTTGATCATTTCAAAAACTTATGATATCTACACATGGCCTTGAGAAAAATTGATTGATAGAGATGACTAGTGAAATTAGTAAAAAAATAATAACTTGAGTATGGTGTCTTATTGGTTGAAAGCAGATAAGATCCTAAATCAACATATGAAGAAAGAAAAGCAAATGGCTAAAAATATAAACACGTGTAATTCACAAAAGATAGATAAGCATCGAGGAAAGAAAAATAAATAATTTCTTAAAATATCTTTTGTGGTAACTAATTACAAACTCAACCATAAAAATCAGCAAAGCTCGTAGCAGTACTTGTCTATTTACCTTGTACTTTGACAGATATGTTACTTCACATACACGACACATTTATATTTATGTATAAGCTTTTTATTTAAACTCTATCTTTTATTAAAAAAAATTAAATACCTATATTATCGTGAGGTGATAACCTTTACATAGGGTAGCAAAACGATTCCACTTAAATTAAGTTTAGTTCTTTTGAAACTTGTAACAGGTGAGTACCAGAGTGCTTTACTAGTCCATGTTAGACGACAATAAAAAATAATTTGGAAACTTTTTAACTTCAAGTGAGATCTAAACTTAGCATGTAAAAGATGGTAGGAAGCTAATTCTTATGTAGAGTCATATCAACCTCTTTCATAGAAATTCCTTGAATTACGACAAACAAAGGAACCAGTTTGTCCTTACACCTTGACGGTGGATAAAACAAATAATAATTCGTATAAATTTTTGTCAAGGTGACCTTTTTTCAAAAAAGAGAAAGTAAAAAAAAAATTTTCTTTTTTCCTTTTTTCATCCTATGAAAAGAGAAAAGGAATAAAGTTTTTAATATTCATTATTTCTTTATCTCTATTTTTAGAAGATTTTCCTCTTTACTTTTTCTTTCAAAATTTGAAGAGGGTAGTTTTTTGTCTTTTTTCCTTGAAAAACGATAAATAAGAAAACATGAAAAAAGAGTGGATTCTGTTTCCTTTATATATATATATATATATATATATATATATAAAGAGAGAGAAAAATCAAAAGATAGGTCTTTTCTTTGAGTGATGTCTTTTTATTTAAGAAAAGTAAGAGAAAAAATAATAAAGAAAAAGGTCTTTTCTTTTAACTCTTTCTGTCCTTAAAAGGAAAAGAAGGAAAGAAGAGAGATAAGTTTCTCCCTAGTAAAAAAATGAAAAATGAATGAATAGGGGAAAATAAAAATGATATTTCTTTCTTCTAAAAAGAGACAAAAAGTAAAAAATAAAAAGGAAAAAGAGATTTCTTTTTTGGACAAAATTCTATTTATGCCGGGAGCGGTTCAATAACCTTTTATTGAAATTAAAATGAGACATTTTTATTGAAATTAAAAAAATTATTAAAATTTTATTCTTTTGGCTTTTTGAGATGCAAAATTTCAAATTAAACTTTTATAATCAAGTTTTTCTAACATATTTTTAATAATTTATGATTCATTATTTTTATTACTTGTAAAAATTTATCAAGTGCTCTTTTTGAGATTGTATTAATTTTTCAATTTTTTCTTTTTTTTTTGTTAAAATTTTGAATAACCATATTCATATTTTGGATATGACATATTCAAATATTTATTATAAAGTACAAAAAATTTAGCTATTATAATTATCTTATATTTTTTAAATGACAAATATAAAATCAACAATCAAAATTTCTAATACAAATAAATCAACTATCACATAAAATAAAGATAATATAATAATATAATATAAACTCTAAATTAAAGTAAAAAATTATGCAAAAATTAGAACAATAGTACTTAATTGTTGAATGTTTATTGTAAACCTCAAATGAGGCTTACAGTTTTATGAAGATTATAACATAACAAACTTCTTACGTATTTTTTGGAGATAAATTGAAGTTAAAGAAAGAAAGAGTAAATGAGG